AAGCCTTTCTTAGCATGGCTGTTAGCATTTTGATGGGGGTGGTGTTTAGCACATCTAGCACTTCTTTGGTGAGTCTCATAGCATGCCCACTCCCATTAGCCTAAGAGGGGAGAGGTAGAAGTCATGAATGGTTACTTGTGTTGGAATAGTGTCTAATATCATAACTAATTTGTAATACTTTCCATTAATAGCATGGTCATTTTTTGGTTGCCTTCAATGATCCAAATAGTCTACTCTAATAAACGAAGCTTTTTGGCCACTTGTCATACTCTCATTCAATTTGCTAAATGTTATTTTGTGGTTATTTTGAATTAATTTATATTCCACGTGTCATTTTATGGTTTTCCTATTTTATTAATTCCACATAGTATGTAAATGCAATAATAAATTCATATTAATTTCCTTAATGAACTTTCCTTTTAATTTCAAAATTACTAAATTAAATCTTTATTAATTTCCTTTATTTATTTATCTAAGTTATTTGTTTAAATTTAGAGAAAAAAACACTTTAATTTTTATAATTTAATATTTTTCTCATTTTTCTAATAAATTCAAACTTTTCAAATGTTTAGAATTTTATATTTAGTTTTTTCTTTTAAATAAACGCATGTAATACATGGGTCTCATACCTAGTATTATAATGTTTTGAGAGAGATATATAAAGAGTTTATTAATTATTCACGAAATGATAAATTAATTTAAAACTAGTTTAAAATTAATTTGGAATTAACTCAAACTATAGAGATCAAATGTTAATTATTCAATAGTTGAATAATAGGACGTTCTGGATCCCATGAGGGTGGAGGACGAAAATCAACAAGGGTTATGCCTTGAGATTTTCATCTCATGTTATGATGGGAAGAAGATTTGAATTTAGATAAAATAGATTATTTGATTATTATCTTTATCCTGTTACAAATTCAAATAAGCTTTTTTTTCCAAGTAACCAGAAACTATAAATACCCCTCCCTGACACCTCATATTTCCGTCCCACTCTCTTTTTCATGACGAACTGAGAGTTTATCTTTGGTCTTGATTAATTCCTTAGTCGATCTCTAGTGTTCTAAGACTTAATCTTCTGACATCAATAATTTGCATATATTGGTTGTGAACCATTAGAGGTAATCGACTTTGGTTACTATCTTTCTTGGTTGGAGCATTTCGAATTCATCATCAAAGGTTCTTGAAGAAAATTGGTTTTGCTAAAGGTTGGTATTTCTTGATCCCTCTTGCAATTGTTCTTATTATTTAGGGAAGTATATAAAAAACTTATCAGTGGTATTAGAGCCAATGCTTAAAAGACATCTTCACTACATAAATATCAAGTTGAAATTTTGTTTGCTTGTTCTTATGAAGAAATCGAAATTTATGGACATGCTTAGGTTAAAATCAAAATTTTAGAGTGTTATGGTTTAAAATAGGTTTAAAATGCTTTTGGTAATTATCTCCACAAATATTTGATTTAACCGAATGCATTATCTAGCATCTTAAGTAACTAAGATCCAAGATAACTAGGAAGCATGGAATTTTCGAAATTTCTGAAGGGATTTTCGAAATTTTAAAGCTTCCAACATAATATTGTATTATGTTGGTTAGTTTATTTGAAATCGTTTCAATGTTTAAAAATTTTGAAAATTTGAGTGTCAAGACTTTTAAAGGATAATAAATTTAAATTATTTAAATTATTTTTGGTAATATATATTAAAATCAAAATCTTATAGGTATTTCAAATAACTTAATCATTATCATGATTTAAATATTTATTCATATATATATATATATATATATATATATATATATATATATATATATATATATTATTGGGATGCAAAACCCAATCTCACATCGGTGAAAAACGAAACTATATGCTAGCATATAAGGCAATGAGTAATCTCTTCTATCACCAATCGGTTTTAGAATATGAAACATCATTGTTCGTCTATGTTGAACATGGTTGGGCTAGTAACAGTCCTAACAAATGGTATCAGAGCTACATTCGTAGCCCGAATGATGTGGTCAACGCAGGTGGCGCAATCCCTAGTAATTCCCAGGCCAATGAAGTTGATCCTAAAGCCTTGTATCGAAAATTTTCCTAATGAACCCATGTCAGGTGAGCATGTCACGAGAGTATCGACGGTATGAAAAATGATTAGATCTGATGAACAGTCGTTGTAGGGGAGGCAATGTGTAATCTCTTTTTATATGCTACCATATAAGGTAATGTGTAATCTCTTTTTATCACCAATTGCTTTTAGAAAATGGACCCTCATTGTTCTTCTATGTTGAACATGTTTGGGCTAGTAGCGATCCTAACATACACACACACACACACACACACACATATATATATATATATATATATATATAATATTAATTATTAACATCTATCCTCACATTATTTGAAATATAAATAATGATTTAATATTATCGCTTGAACACACATAATTAATTGGAATTGATATGATTAAAATGCCATCATCATAAAACCAAGTCAATAAAATTATATGTTGGAAAACACAATCATCCAAATCAGAGTATCATAAGAACACGAAATCACAAAATGATGGAGATGTCTGTGAGTGTGCACAATAATGTCTTTGCCTTTCCGGGATCCTCAAAATTTCGTGACACATTTAAATAGACAACTGTAAGCCAAAGGTGAGTGAGTTCCCAACATATCACATATAGCACATCACAATTAAACATATATAACTGTTGGATTAGGTGTCTAAGCCCTTAACTATAATTGGTATGTACTTGAATTGATAGCAGCACAGTCCTTTTGGGTTGCCCTCAACCTAGCAACTGGACAAGGAAATTATGAAAGGAGAGATATTAATTTATAAGATTAATTAATATATATATATATAAATGATTTATTAATATGTTAATGGATTAATATATTAATTAGAAATCATTATGTTTAATTAATTGTTAGCCAGAAATTAATCAGAATTGATTTTGGGGTTAAAAGAATTAATTATAAGGTGCAGGGACTAGTTTGCAATTATCTAATAGTTGAGTGGAAGGCTCTAGAACCCCCTTGGAAGAGGGTGGACGAAATCTTTAGGGGAAACCCTAATAATTTCGTCCATAGGGGCTTGGATAAGGCCCTTGGGTTTGCTTAGGCCCTAAGCAAAGGATAACTAGGGTTTCCCTTAAACCCTAGATCCCTCAGCTATATAAGGAGCCTCCTGGTTCATGTTTTTGGTGACTCTTTCTTTTGAAGAAACCCTAAGGCCGAGATTTTGCATACTCCCTCTCCCCTCTCTCTTCTACTTTCCTTCTTGCTAGTTTGGGTGTGATTCCATTAGAGGCATTACACTTGTGGTGCTAAAGCTTCCAAGAAGATCAAGATCAAGATCAAGGGAATATCAATTGTTTGCTATAACAATTGAAAGGTATGTAAACCCTAAACCCTTAGTTTGTTAATTTCGAAATTAGCCTCTCTCCTCTAGGGTTCTTGTTTTGCAATTCAAAGTTGTATGTTCAATAGTTAAAACATAGATCCAAAGTAGGTTGCATGTGAACTTAGGAATTGTTTTCTAGTTTATTTGTTGTACCTAAAACCCATCAGTGGTATCAGAGCCATTGTTGTTTTAAATTGAATTGCTACAATTGTTGAATTGCAAATTAGGGTTTATAGCTATTAAACCCTAAAGGCCAAATTTTCGATTTCTAGGGTTTTGGATCAAAGGGTTTTTTCGAAAACCCTAGCCTCCAAAGAACCCTAATCGAAATTAGGGTTAGGGTTTTGAAAACCCTAGCCTCCTCCCTTATGAATTTCGAAATATGCTAGAGGATAACTAGGGTTTCTTGTTTTTGGATAATTGTTACTTAATTAGATTAATTGGATAATTATCCTTACCCTATTTTTCGAAATTAGAGGGATAAGGATTAGGATTAAATTAATTGATTAATTTAATTAGATAATCCTTACAAGATTTAATAATTTGATTAATAGTTAATTAATAGATAAATATTAAATCTAGTTAATTGGTTTATTTAATTTGAAATTAATAGCTTAAATTTCGAAATTTATAAACCCTTGAAGTTTTAAAAGTTTTAAAACACACCTTATATATATTATAATTAAAGGTTTAATATTATATGTATAAGAATATGGTCAGTCAAATCGCTAGTATGCCTCATTCACGAAGCTAATCTATAAGGGGGGTATAAGGAAACTGCCTATAAAATGGTAGTTGAATGGGTGTCCACTCTCACCCACCGCTTCCTTGATTAGTGGAGGGTCGTTAGCAGAACGGATTTGATAGGACAACTACTTCTCATTAAAAGTATAATGATATTAAAAGTACTAGAACATTATTTTCAAAATCCCAACTCTAGTTACTTTAGGAAAAATGTGAAAAGTATGCTAATCCATGAAATTGCACATTATGCTTTATTGGTCGTTAGTGGAGCGTGTGTGGTTAACCAGCACACTAAAAGGCACAATAAAGAGTAGTAATGGGTATCTCATAATTGTCATTTTGATGGAGCGTGTGTGGTTTACCAGCACATCAATAGTTAATGATAAAGACAATGAGGTTACCAAGCACATTTGCATGGTTATTCACATCTTGTTTGTGATCCTCGGCATCCCAGTCACAAATAGAAGAGCATAATCTGAGATTAAAACATGCCATTGAATAGTTTCAATGTATCTCAAAAGAATTAGGAATTTCACTTCGTTTGTTTCGTCTAATGGTGGAATTGGTGAATCGTCATTCACCTACCTTTATGAAATTTGCACTTGGATCTCGGCATCCCATTTCTGAGTTGTGAATCTTCATAGTTGGATCCTAACCTTGATATTATATCTTTGGGTTATTCTATTAAGGTATCTTGAAATCTAACTAAAACTTTCTTTCTTTTCAGATGTCTACTCCTGGAAACACTTCTGCTTCATCCTCCTCCAACCAACTTCTCCTTGCTCAATATGCTCCAAAGTCGTTATGGATGGCTCAAACTATAACGATTGGATGCGCAACATCAAGATGGCTCTTCGTTTCGAGAACAAAGAATATGTTCTTGAAAAGGAGCTCAAAGAGCTTGATGAGAATGAAGCTACTCCTGAAGATCTTGCTGCCTACAAGAAACATTACGATGATGCTACCAAAGTGGCATGCATCATGGTGGCAACTATGTCCCCAGAACTGCAGAGGTACTATGAGGACTACTGGCCTTTCGAGATGAACAAGGACCTTATGGAAAAGTACCATAAGCGAGCTCGTCAAGAAAAGTTCGAAGTAGTCAAGTCACTCATGGCTTGCAAGATGAAAGATGGGGAGTCGGTTGTGTCACATGTGCAAAGAATGCAACGCTACATAGAGCGTTTGGTCAAGCTCAATATTCACTTTGATGAGGAATTGGCCATTGACATGGTCTTGAACTCACTTCCTGAATGTTATGGTCAGTTTATTCTAACTTACCATTTGAACAATACTGAGCAGACCTTGCCCAATTGCACAACTTGTTGCAGACAGCTGAGGCAGGGATGAAGGGTAAAAGTAACCCTCCACTCCACACCTGCTAGTGCCCCTGTTTTGGCTATTGGACAGGGAAAGGGGAAAAAGAGGAAAGGTCCTCCCAAGCAAAACTGGAAGAGCAAGGCTCAAGCTGGGTCATCTAGTAATGGCCCAAAGGCTAAGCCCAATGGTTCCACTCCCCATGTTTCTGATCCAAAAGAGGCAGTTTGCTTTTACTGCAACCAAAAAGGGCATTGGAAGAGATCTTGCCCACAATATCTGCAAGATATCAAGGATGGCAAAGTGAAGCCATCTTCGGCAGGTATTTACACTATTTCTGCTAATAACTCATTATCTTCTCGTTCATGGGTCCTTGATACAGGATGTGGTTTTCATATCTGTTCTGATTTGCAGGGTCTAAAGGAAAGTGAGGAGATAGAGCGAGGAAGGATAAACCTGATCATGGGAACAGAAAGTCTTCACCAGTAACCAAGATCGGAGTTTATCAGCTTCTGCTTAGTAATGATGTTAGATTAGATTTAATAAATTGTTGCTATTCGTCTGAGATGACGAGAAACATTATTTCATTTCATGCATTGTTCAGACAAGGTTTTACATATTCTTTTAATGATTTGAATGGTTCAATTTCTGTTTATAAGAATGGTGTTTTTATGTTTGAAGCTTTGCCTTGTAATGGTGTGTATGAAACAGTGACTTGTGTTGATAGCTTAGGAAATAGTGTACTTAATATTGACTTGTCTAATAGTGTAGACAAGGCATGCTTGTGGCATTGTCGTCTTGGACACATTAACAAGAAACGCATAGCCCAACTCCAAAAGGATGGAGTGTTGGAATCATTTGACCTAAATCAGATGATATGTGTGAATCTTGTCTTTTGGGAAAGATGACAAAATCACCATTCACAGGGTCTTGTGAAAGAGGTGAAGGTCTGTTGGATCTCATACACACAGATGTGTGTGGGCCCTTCAGATCAACTACAAGAGATGCTAATCGATTCTATGTGACTTTCACTGACGATTATAGCAGATATGGATACTTGATCAAGCATAAGTCAGAAACTTTTGAAAAGTTCAAAGAGTTTAAGCATGAAGTCGAAAATCAATTGGGCAGAAAGATAAAGATACTTAGATCCGATAGAGGCGGGGAGTATCTTAGTATCGAGTTTAACGACTATCTGAAAGAATGTGGGATAGTCTCACAATTGACTCCTCCTAGGACACCACAGTTAAATGGTGTAGCTGAGAGGCGCAATCGAACCTTGTTAGACATGGTTCGTTCTATGATGAGTCGGGCTTCGCTTCCTATTCACTTCTGGGGGTATGCCTTAGAGACAGCCGCCCACATCCTCAATCTTGTCCCTACAAAGAAGGTTGCCAAAACACCTCACGAAATGTGGACAGGGAAAGTTCCCTCGTTAGCACATATTAAAGTCTGGGGTTGTGAAGCTTTCGTAAGACGAGAGACTCACGACAAGCTAGCAGCTAGAAGTGAGAAATGTGTTTTCATTGGTTACCCAAAGCAGTCTTTTGGATATTTGTTCTACAGGCCTAGTGAAACGTGGTCTTTGTAGCACGAAGAGGAGTCTTTCTTGAAAGAGAGCTCATATTCAAAGAGGACAGTGGGAGCACTATTGACCTTGAAGAAATTCAAGATTCAGCCAATGAAGGAACCTTAGATGACACTAGCACTCAACCAGAGGAAACAGTTCCTGTTGAACCAATCGATAACTCATTACCTCTTAGAAGATCCACTAGGGTGAGTGTGCCACCTGAGTTGTATGGTTTTCATATTACTTCAGATGGTGACACATTCATAAGTGACAGAACACTGGTAAACTTAGATGAACCAGTCACTTATAAGGAAGCAATGGCAGGCCCAGAGGCTTCCAAGTGGAAAGAGGCAATGGACAGCGAGATTAAGTCCATGTATGACAACCAAGTTTGGAATTTGGTTGATAGTGCACCAGGTCGTAAGACAGTTGGGTGCAAATGGATCTTCAAGAAGAAGACAGACATGGATGGAAATGTGCACACATTCAAGGCTCGACTGGTTGCAAAAGGTTTCACTCAAACCCCAGGGGTTGACTATGATGAGACCTTCTCGCCAGTGGCTAAGATTAAATCTATTAGGATATTGCTCGCCATAGCTGCCTTTCATGATTATGAAATCTGGCAGATGGATGTCAAAACTGCTGCTTCCTTAATGGGAAGTTGGCTGAAGATGTTTACATGAGTCAGCCAGAGGGTTTTGTTGATGCAAAGTTTCCCAATAGAGTGTGCAAGCTTGAGAAATCCATTTATGGATTGAAACAAGCATCTCGCAGTTGGAATCTTTGCTTCCATGAGAAAGTCAAAGAGTTTGGTTTCTCTAGAAGTGAAGATGAGTTTTGTGTGTATATCAAGGCTAGTGAGAGTATAGTAACTTTTCTGGTGTTGTATGTCGATGACATATTACTCATTGGTAACGACGTTCCAACCTTGAAAGAAGTTAAGTCTTGGCTTGGAAAGTGTTTTGCCATGAAAGACCTTGGAGAAGCTGGCCTATATTCTTGGGATTAGAATATTGAGAGATAGAAAGAAGAGACTAATTGGACTTAGTCAGAGCACATACTTGGATAAGGTACTAAAGAGGTTTAGTATGGAAAATTCCAAGAAGGGAGAGCTACCTATCCAGAGCAATACCAAATTGAGTAAGACTCAATGCCCGAGTACAGATGTTGAAATAGATGACATGAGTCGTGTACCTTATGCTTCCGCTGTCGGATCGATCATGTACGCTATGACATGTACTCGCCCTGATGTGGCATTTGCTTTGAGCATGGTCAGTCGCTATCAGGGAAACCCAGGTAGAGCTCATTGGATAGCAGTTAAGAATATACTCAAGTATTTGCGAAGGACAAAGGACTGGGTTTTGTGCTTGGTGGCAGTGATACTTTGAGAGTAGATGGTTACAGTGATGCCAGCTTTCAGACGGATAGAGATAACTTCCGTTCTCAGTCGGCTGGTATTTTTACTGAATGGAGGAGCAGTTACTTGGAAAAGTTCCAAGCAAAATACGGTGGCTGATTCTACTTGTGAATCAGAGTACATAGCAGCAAGTGAAGCGTCGAAAGAAGCAGCTTGGTTGAGGAACTTCATCGGGATCTCGGAGTTGTTCCAACCATCCAGGAGCCTATGGAACTGTTCTGCGATAATGAAGGAGCGGTTGCCTTGACAAAGGAACCGAGAGATCATGGTAAGACCAGACATATCGACAGAAAGTACCATTTCATCAGACATAGAGTAGAAGAAGGCCATCTTATAGTAAAGAGGGTGTCATCTGAAGATAAACCAGCAGATCCCCTCACAAAGGGTCTGAGTAGGGCTAAGCATATTCAGCATGCTCGGAGCATAGGACTGAAAGATGATATTAGTTTTAGTAGTTAGATTAGTTTTTGAAACTTGTAACAAAGTAAATGTAATTGACTTTTGGTGATTAAATAATAAAGTATTATTTTATAAGTTTGGCTACTACCTTTTGTCAATTGTTTATTATTGTGTTTCATTTTTGCATGTTTTACTTCCTGAATAATGAGATTATTCAAACTCCACAGTCGCTCGTACTCTTGAAGTAAGTAGTGAATTAAGACTGTCATGATTGGATTGCAGATTGTCTAAGGATAGACATGGCAATAGAATTGCTGCAATGTTCATGAGTACTCAGAAATTGAGATTTGAGTATTGGATAAACCCTCGCTCAGAGTATTACTTCATGGAATTCATCACGAGTAATACTGAGACGATAATATCTTATAATCTTGAAACGAAGATATATGAGTTGTAATTTACAAGTCGGTTGTGCATTGGTGATACGAAAACGCATCAGTAACTTGGTGTTATAAACGTATTGTCATGCATAATTTGATGAGTAAAAGATACAAGCATATGAGTCAACGTTTATTTTCGTTCCTTTTGCCCTAACAGGAAAAGCGATATCTGTGGGCCCTCGATGATTTGGTGTTGACTTATGTGCTGGGCCCAGCCAGGACTAAATTGATGTGTTCATTAGAAGTCCTACATCATCACAAATCAGGAATCGGGAAACATAGATTCTGGACAAAGAGATTGATTACATTCCATGTCTTTTGTCTGGGGATATCAAGCAGAACGAAGGGTTATATGATCACTTATCTTAGGACACATAACTGACTGGGTCAGAGTTCGGGCAGCAGCTTTTGGAAGCTACAATTTGCTGGTCAATTTAGAAGGCATACTAGCAATTATAGTTACAGACTTATCCAAGTGGGAGACTGTTGGATTAGGTGTCTAAGCCCATAACTATAATTGGTATGTACTTGAATTGATAGCAGCACAGTCCTTTTGGTTGCCCTCAACCTAGCAACTGGACAAGGAAATTATGAAAGGAGATATTTAATTTATAAGATTAATAATTATATATATAAATGATTTATTAATATGTTAATGGATTAATATATTAATTAGAAATCATTATGTTTAATTAATTGTTAGCCAGAAATTAATCAGAATTGATTTTGGGGTTTAAAAGAATTAATTATAAGGTGCAGGGACTAGTTTGCAATTATCTAATAGTTGAGTGGAAGGCTCTAGAACCCCCTTGGAAGAGGTGGACGAAATCTTTAGGGGAAACCCTAATAATTTCGTCCATAGGGGCTTGGATAAGGCCCTTGGGTTTGCTTAGGCCCTAAGCAAAGGATAACTAGGGTTTCCCTTAAACCCTAGATCCCTCAGCTTTAAGGAGCCTCCTGGTTCATGTTTTGGTCACTCTTTTCTTTTGAAGAAACCCTAAGGCCGAGAATTTTGCATACTCCCCTCCCTCTCTCTTTACTTTCCTTCTTGCTAGTTTGGGTGTGATTCCATTAGAGGCATTACATTTTTGCTAAAGCTTCCAAGAAGATCAAGATCAAGATCAAGAGGATATCAATTGTTTGCTATAACAATTGAAAGGTATGTAAACCCTAAACCCTAGTTTGTTAATTTCGAAATAGCCTCTCTCCTCTAGGTTTCTTGTTTTGCAATTCAAAGTTGTATGTTCAATAGTTAAAACATAGATCCAAAGTAGGTTCATGTGAACTTAGGAATTGTTTTCTAGTTTATTTTGTTTACCTAAAACCCATAAGTGGTTCAAGCCATTGTTGTTTTAAATTGAATTGCTACAATTGTTGAATTGCAAATTAGGGTTTATAGCTATTAAACCGAAAGCCAATCTTTTGATTTCTAGGGTTTTGGATCAAAGGGTTTTTTTTCGAAAACCCTAGCCTCCAAAGAACCCTAATCGAAATAGGGTTAGGGTGGTTTGAAAACCCTAGCCTCCTCCCTTATGAATTTCGAAATATGCTAAGAGGATAACTTGGGGTTTCGTGTGTTGGATAATTGTTACTATAATTAGATTAATTGGATAATTATCCTTACCTTATTTTTCGAAAT